TTGGCCACATTTGAGTCTAAATACGACACTTTGCGGTCAGTTAACATTAGTTAGATGCATATTCATCAATATTGTAGTTTTTGTATCAACTTTGTTACAAATTGCCATAGATTTCGAAAAAAAGAGAACAAAAACTTTAACTATCAGAGATTTAATGAGTCACTCAATTCACGTTGCTTATTTATCTACTATTGATTCATGGTTTAATAACTACGTTGCGATGAGCGTTTCAAAAGCAGTTGTATGTAACATCGACAGAAAGATTTTTTTTTTTAATATTTTAATCGGTTGTTCTCTATTTGCAAGACCCAGTTGAGACGGCAAGGAAATGGGCTTAATACTTGCTTTGAAAAATACTTGTGTTATTTCCGAATAGGCCAGTGCCATCAGAAAATGTTGTACTGTGAACTTGCTCTGTGGGAAAACGATTCGATTCTACGACCTGGCTCAGCAGTTGAAGTCTACAGTNTTCAAGACAGCGCCGTCTCTGCCCCTATCGACGACGTTGACGTCTGCCGCGGACACTGATTTTGATTTGTCTTCCATCACCCGCAAAGCTTTAAGACTGACTTCTTTAGTGCACGGATCCATACGATTTTTTGCTGATAAACCTATGGAACGTCACCTGAACTAGCTAGCATAGCACTTTAATTCCAAACTATAGACGAATAGATTCATAATTGCATCTAGGATGAATTGTAAACAACTATTTATACCGGCGCTATGCATACTCTTTTGCATATTGGGTAAGTAGTCCAAATACCTGTTGTTGGAAGAGGGGATGTGGGCCGTGGTTGACCAACGGAAGAGACAAGTGTAAAGAAGGTGGTAATTACATACGATAGGCATAACTTATTAATAATTCAAGACACAAAACTAAATACATAAGGGAAGGAAATGTGTCTATAAACTTTGTAAGTGAGGTACTGGAACTGGAGATTAACGACCTTCATCGGCGTAAAAGCACCTGTATGAAAACAGGTATTCGAATACATGTTTTTATAAAAGTAGAAATAATGACGCAAAAAATTTCTCTACGGACAATAATTTGAATCTTCCCACCGGATGCATTTAAGTAGGTACAATACAAATGTGGCTCTTCATGCAGTGAAATGCTGCTTCTCTGAAATACACATTCAAACTTGATAACCTTCGACCCCAACGCTGTTATGAAAGCAACTTATGCTGGAGAAAGTTGATTGTATTATTACATATTTGCTATTCTTGCTTTGTCTTATTATCAGAAAGCCTATAGACGGGACACCAGCTCAGATTAAAAGATAAGAAAATTGCTCGAACTACTTTGACGCTGCCTTAAAGAAAATTATGTATATGCTAATGACGTGCTAAGAAATTGCAGTATAAAGAAGATTTGTTTTATTACTACCATAGAAAATATTTACTATTAACGAATTGTTTACTTTTTTCCAGTGCCTTCTGTCCTATCAAACACTGCCTTCCTTATTCCACCTAAAAGTCAACACCTTTTCG